CTTCTGTTCATTTTTTGAACTAGGGAGCATCTGCCATTCACAAGTATAAAGAAAGCCTGCTCCCCTGCACCCCTGAGAGCACAGGGAGGGGAAACTGGTGTAACCTGCCCTTCTGTCCCTTCCTTCCTGGAGGTTTGGTACAAGCCGCCTCTGCTCCCTCCCTCCTGGCTAACAAGATGGTCGTGTCTCTGTTTTAGTTAGTCATCCCAGTTGCTTGAGTGGCTAAAGCTTGACTCTTGGTGGCTTGGTACCATTGGCCCCTTGTAATTCACCAATCAGCGAGGGACAGAGTGAGAGACCCCCAGGTCCCTGCATACCTAGACTTTTGCCACCTGGCAGCCTTGCCCCCAAGGTGGCTGCTGAGAAGAGGTAAGTACTACTCATCCAGGCATGGGTGTGACAGAATTCTGCGCCCACCCAGCATTCCTTGTGAGAGAAGCTCCTGCTGAACCATCTTCCAGATGCATAGGGAAAGGGTCGTAGGAGCCATAGGAAATGGCTCTGGTGTGAAGAAGCCCAAGCACAGTGTTCTTCGCCTGGACAACCTGTGTCTTTCCGCTTGCTTGTGAGCAGCCGGTAGGGCTCTGGAAAGAAATGAGGTGAGCGCTCAGAAATGCCAGGATGGACCAGAGTTAACTGCTACGGACTTTCTTCTAGGAAGGGTTGGGAAGGTGACACATTGTCTCTGCTTTCTTCGGTGTCCCATCTGGGTGTTGGGCATTGAGAGACTTCCCCACCCCTAAAAGCTAGTCAACAAGCAAATACAATCTGCCAGTCAGCTTAGGAAGGGCCAGGAAGACCGGTGGAACTGGGCAGGAATTGAGGTATTATGTGGGGACGGGCAGTGAGGGGGCATTGAAGGGTGCCTGCCTGGAAGAAGGAAGGGTGAGATGAGCATTGACTCTAGTTGACCCAAGCAGTCAGGAAACCTAAAAAGATGCTAAGAGATGCTAAGCAGGGCCACACCATCTGAGAGCCTCTGGTCACGGGGAGGAGTCTGAAAACCATGAAATCCCTTTGTGTGAATGGAAGCCAGTGCAGTGGGCAGCTTTGCTCCACCATGCGTGCCAGTACATGTCCCCACCATGTGTTCCCACCACCACACACCCCACGACACGCTCCATCATGTGATCCCTTACATGATCCCATCCCATGTTCCCGCCACGTGCTCCATCACATGTCCCCACCCTGTGTTCCACTACATGCTCCCCACCACATACATCACCATGTACTCCACTACCTGCTCCCACCGCATGTTCCCATGGCGATGTGTTGCCTCACCATAGGCCTAAAGCAGAAAGGCCAAAACCAGAAACCCGGGTGGCACCTTCCTCCTTTCAAGTCACTGTCTTGGCTCTGCTGTCGCAGGAGAGGAGAGGATGACTCACATACAAGCCTTTCCAAACCAAGAAAGGGAAGACCTGTGAGGAGCCCAGACTCTCGGGCTGTGAGCAGGGCCGCTAGGGAGCACACTGCTCTGTGAAGCAAATGCCAAGCTTGTCCCTTTAGAACCAAAGGCCTCCCGTCTGGGTGTGACCTCCTGAGGCAAGTACCACTGGCTCTCTCTAATCTCACATGAGGCCCCTCACTCAACCATGCACACATACATGAGCACTGAGGGCCTGTTTCTGAGCAAGTACCAGAGACCACAGCGGGAGAGGAAAGCCCGAGGCATGGCTCCTAAGGACAGGTTTGCAGAGTTCCCCAAGCCCTGCCTGGGGTCTGTGCCTGGGTGTGAGCGCATCTTAAGAATATAGCATTGCTCACTCTGCTTTCAGAGAGAGGAACTCATCTTCTTGCTTTAGCCCCCCCCCCCCCAAATGCTGGAAATCTGGGTTTCTGCTGCCTTGGCTGGTTAGTATGTGTGCGTGCGTGCGTGTGTGCGTGCGTGCGTGTGTGTGTGTGTGTGTGTGTGTACTGTAGCTGCTTGTGAAGGTCTGCCTGGAGTCACAGGGCTCTCGAGGCTCTGTCCTCTCCCGTTCAGTCCGCGGTCTTGCTGTGACTGTGTGCGCATGCGTTGCAGATTCTTTCTCTGCTGTCTCGGCGCTAAGCTGGGGTGGCTACTGAGCTCGCCTGTTGTCTTCAGTTCATTCTTCTGTGTCCAGGAGCGTTGCTGTGGTAACCAGTGCTGCCTGTTAGTGAAGAAGCTGTGTCTGGGGCTGTATCCATAGGCACCAGACAGCTCCAGCATACTGCAACCTTCAAACAAGCTAACCTCTTGTCTTCCAGGTCCTCACCTCTGGTACCCTCCCGAGCCCTCTAGGTCCCACCACGCATTCATTCTTAATCACCAAGTGTTTATTATCCTAACCACGCAACACGTACTGGGGGCCCAACCGCAGCTTCACAGATCTCTGCTCCATAACCCTCCCCCTTCCAGTCTCCTAGTGGCCTGTACCACATGTGTTAGTTCGCTGGGTCACTGCCATCTTGTTGCAGCTTCTGCTTGGCCAATAGAGAAAGATGGGCACAGAGAGGTTAAGCGGGCTGCTCTAGAACACACAGCCAGTTTTGAATCCAGGAGATTCTGTCTGTCTGTCCGTCTATCTGCCCATCCACACTCCCATCCGTTTACCCATCCACCCACTCATCTATATATCCATGCATCCATTCATCCACTCCATCCTTCCAGTCACATGTCCATCCACCCAGACACCTAAGCAGAAGGGAAAAATTAAAAATGCGTTCAAGGGAAGAAATCCAGCCGTGTTTATTTGTCATGCTGTAACCCAGGTGGGGAACTGGACATGACCTCAGCACTGAGGGGCTCCCGTAGGGCTCGGGGCTGTGGTCTCACAGGCATTCGAGCTTCACCAGCAGCTGTGGAGACAGAGTTCAGAGTGGCAGTCTCTTGGTGGCTCAACACCATCAAGGTAGTTCCTTGCTGCCTACCTTGCACCCCGCCCACAAATATAGTCACTGAGTAATACCCCATGGGACCACAGACGCTCGGGCAGACAGCTCCATGCATGTGATCTGATCTCCCAGGCAAGTCCACATGTGAGCGCTCTGGAGGTGCTTCACAGTGCTGCCACGGGAGTGTGTAAATGTGCACGCCTGCACGCAGGTGGAAATGCATGCGACACACATGAAATACCCCCAGCCTTCTGGAGGGCATTCCTGGTTGAGAGCCTCAGATGCAGTCGGGTCTGCGGCAGAGGGGCCACACCCACCACTTTCACTATGGTTGGTCAAGGATTCTTGGCTTCCTTCTTCTCCCCGCATTCTGACCCCTTCTCTGAGGATAGCACCTCACCTGTAGGCACATAGGCAGTGGCTGGGCTGGGGGGGGGGTCTCAGCATCCCTGAGCTGGCCTCTGCCTGATGATGGATGCCAGGTCCCCTGATAATCACAAAGTGTTCAAGACACGGACTCATCTACCACTGTAGTTCATCCTGAGGTCGCCTCCTAAGATTACCATTCCAAGAACCGAGCTTTGCGAGTTAAGGATGGGGGGCGATTCCCTCTTGCTTAACCAGATACCCCAGCCCAGGCATCTGGGAACTGCTATGGCCCCCTTGGCAAATGGAACTCCAAAACCCAGCTGTATGAGGGTCCCCAAAGGACCTGCCCACACACCTGGCCTCGTCCCCCTGCCCCTGAGTGAGTACCAGTGTTAAGAAGAAGCACAGGCCATGGGGCAGCACAGGCAGACTCCATATAAATAGAATATCCATAGAAAAATAGTCTCTTAGAAACCCTTTTATCCAGTGGTTCACTTTCCAGAGATGGGAACTGCTGGGAGTTGATGACTCCTGTCCCCTCGCACACACTATTCCCAGCGGGACTTTTCTAACAGTGAGGTTTGAACTGAGGAAGGCAGAAGAATCGGGGTATATCCTGGAGAAGAACAACTCCAGATCTGGACCAGTTTAAATTCTGGATAGGTAGCAGCAAACAGCAAAAACAAAACAAAAAAATACAAATGTGTGTGCATATATATCTCTATGTGTATAAAGACCGTCTGCTCTTTGTACCTAACGTCTAGTGCTGCAGAAGGGTACTTGCAAAACCAACTAGTAGAAACATCTGCATAAAGAATAATTCTGTACAGTTGTTCATCGCTCCCAGTCCTGGTGACAAAGTCGTCCCACCAGGACCTCAAGCAGTCCACTTTGATTGCAGAAAACGGATCCTGACGAAGTGGAAGAATTCTCTTTAATTAAATAAATTAATATTATTTTTTTATCAGAATAAACTGTTAAATATTGCTATGACGAGGCCCGAGGCTCCAGAGCGCCTGCCGCAGAAAACTTTGCTCCAGCTCTGGAGGGGCCCCGGGCGGTGTCAGGGGGAGGGCAGTCGAGCAGCATTCGTGTGGAATAGAATGGGCGAGGCCTCTGAGAGGGTCTTCCCACAGGAGTCTGCAGGAAACCCAGGATACCCTTCCCCCTCAGCAGAAAAGACAAGGTCAGTGCTTCCGTGGTTCCCTGTGAGTATCCAGGCAGTGGCCAACAGGGAGTCTGCGTCCTGCCCGCGGTCTGACCTGGGACCTCCGTTCACTTGCATGTGTACATCTCGGTGCGCTCACTGCACGTGTTGCACTTGACGTAGCAGCACCAGTGGAATTTGCAGTTGCATTGCCACACTCGGGCATACTGGTGTGTGTTGTAGCCGCGGCCGCAGCACATGAGGTCACAGCCACTAGCTTGAGGGGCTGTCTTATTGCAGGCACGGCCCTGCGTGCCCACACTGCCTGTCACTGGGTCCTCTTCACAGTAATTGGGTGACTTCTCGATGTACACCAGGTCAGTGTCCATGGGCTTACGGTAGGACAGAGGTTTCTTGATCTTCAGGAAGGTGGGCCTCTTGTTCCGGCTGGCACGCACCGGCTCCACGTGGACGGCCTCATTGTATTTGTCTTTGAGAACGTAGCCGAGCTCTCGGAACTGCGGCAGCGTGGTCCAGCAGGTCTTAGTGGTACAGGAACCTGACACGCCATGACACTTACACTCCAGCTTCATGTTCTCCTCCAGAATCTGCAGGGCCAACAGGGAAAAGCACAGAACTTGTCACTGTGGCTCACGGCCAACCACAGGCCCAGCCCACCCTCCAGGCCCTCTCGGCCAGCTATATTTTATTTTCTTCTTTGGTACAGGAAACCTAGGCCTGGACCTCTGCCTCCACAGTCTGGTCGCAGCGCTCACCCTGGGTGTGTGTACCCTGTTTACTCCCAACTTCTTCACGTTCTGCTATCCCGGTTTGGTGACATTAGCCCAACTCAGTCTAAATGCACGCCAGTTCTCTTTGGTTTGAGTAGGCCTGAAATCAGTTTTGCACCATGTTTACAACACAGGAAGGTTCAGTTTAAAAGAAGGGCTTTTCAGATTCCTTGCCAAACCTGTAACATCTGTCAACACTGAGTGAGGACAAAATCCTGCTTCACCTTGGCCGGTATAGATGTCAGCCCAAAGTTGGCACAGTTTCTCTGGTGTCCTGCAACAGCCATGGCTTATACACTGCCCCGGGGCACATGGCAGCAGGTCCTTGAGCTGAAGGCTGGTCTCCAAAACTCTAGGGATATAGTGACCACCTCGCCTCTCCCATTAGGCCTCTCCTCTCTGCAACCATTGTTGCCCTGGGGCTGTGGTGAACTTGAATGGTCCCTTAATTAGGTGAAGTCCAGCCAAGCTCTGCTAACTCTGCACTCTGAAAGTCTCAGCGATCTTACTGAATTCAGTCACAACTGGCCAGGACTGGTCACTCACTGGGCAGCCAGCTGCCTCCCTGAGGCACCAACAGCAGCAGAGGAAACCTATGGAGGTCACACCTCTCGAGGCCAGGCTAGACCCTGGTTCCTGAGCTGCCTGTACTCCAAGTCCCCTCCTATGCTTCAGGTCAGACATAGTGGGGCTTTGAAATCCCTACAGAAGCCCGTCTCCAGCACCTTTCCAGGACTAGCCCCCAGCAGGTACTCAGAAGAGGGCCCTTTGAACTACTCTATCAGGTCACACCTCTGGGTCCCAGGTTAAAGGAGGATGGATAGGCAGGCTAGGGTCTGCCACTCACACCGACACTGCACAAAAAAGGGAAACCCAGGAGAGAATAAATACACATCTAGGTCTAGCCTCAGCTGGCTGGCCCTTTGGAAGATGTTGGGGAGTTACTGCTCCTGCCAGATTCCCGCTGGACTGTATTGGAGCATGTGCCCCTATGGTCCAAAGTAGGACATATTCCTGTCCTGGGCTCACAGGCCTCCAGTCCCAAGCAGTGGACCACCCTTTCAGACCCACTGATTTCACGCTATGGATTACGAAACCTGTTTGAGTAGTTCTATTCTGATTCAGCTCATATGCCAGAAAAAACTCTACCTCCTCCAGGAAGCTTCCCCTGATTTTCAAGGTAGAATCCTTCCATCTGTCCGTCCCTGACTCTGTCTGTCTCCTGAGCAGTGCTCTCAATTAAGGCAGAGCTCTTTGGGACACAGAGGAACTCTGCCCTAGTGGCCTCTCTGAGGGCACAGAGGGACAAGTGCCTGGCCATTCCACCTGAGGCAGTGACACAGGTGGGTAGCACCCACTCCAAAGGTTCCTCAAGGCTTAGTGTCTACCTGTCTCTGACAGAGTTCAGATCTGAATTCCCCTCTCAGCCTCCACTTCCAGAAAGCCCCAAATGGGGCAGTCATCAATCCATGACAACTGACCTGCTGTAGCAAAAGGGCTGACTTCTGTTTGCAAGAAGGGTGGAGGGCTATTTGGCCTCAGGGGCATTCTATCATTCCCCTTGTTCATTTTGCAAAGGATGCGTGCTCTATGCTGCTGGCATTGCTTCGGGCAGAGGCAGGAAGCATCCTCCAGGAGGCCTGGTGATAGTGGATACTGGCCCTGCCTCTTCTGAGGTGCAGCCTCTTCTGTCTCTCAGCTTATGGTTCCAGACCCAAGGTAGCCATGGGACACACAGAAACTTGTGAGCACTGTGGGCTGAAGGAGTAGCAAGGAACACTTGGAGAAGGGTGAGGGTGGGCTTCAGAAAGACAAGATCCACACAGGACCCAGGGAATAAGGACTGACTGAAACAGCATTGCCTGTGCCCGTGTGGGTGGGATGCAGACCCTGGGAGGTATGGGAAGGAAGTCCTGTGGCCGGAGGGTAGAGGCTCAGGGGGACAGAGCTGAGAAGCTGGCCAGGCTGATTCTTCAGGGCAAGCAGCATCTGGCTCACCATGTAGGTAACCACAAGATCATTAGGTTGGAAGAGACAGTGGCAGGAAAGACACTGTCCTCTGTGCCTAGGCCAGAGACGATGCAGGCAGAAGACACGGGAAAAGAGAAGAGGCGAAACGTACAGTGACTGCGAGTGAACCAATCACAGGGGCTCCTGGGTGGGGAATCCTGCACTGAGTCAGGAGGCCGGAAGCTGGGCTTGAGGAAGAGCGTGTGCCCAGAACACAGGGAGCACATTCAGGATGTGGCGGCCTCTGCAGAGCAGGGGGGTCTTCTGGTACAACTGGACCGTGACTCCCATCACCTGGCATGCCTAGTGGGGGTCATGTGTAGTCCCAGGAAGAATTCTGTTCCTTCTACAGACTAACACGAGGTGAGTAAATGCACCAGAAGAGAAGCAAGCACCCAAAATCTTAATCTTAAAATTGGTTGCAAAAGCACAGACTGGGAGAGACTGAGAAAGACTGAATGCTTTCAATGACCACCAACTACTAAAAGGCCGGCAGTCTGAGGCCATGTTGCCGGATGCCTAGTGCACACACAGAGAGGAGGGTCATCTCTTATGCTTTCTAGAGTGGAAGAAGAGCAGACAAGCCTGGTGGTGCACCCCTGTCACACCAGCACTTGGGAAGCTGGCTGAGGAGAATTGCTGGAGCGGGGTCCTGTCAGTCAAAAGGCAGACAACCAGGTATAACATGACTAGTGGAGGGGTCAGCGCAGCTCAGCCTGGAGAAAGCAATGTCCAGGGTCCCTGAGTCCCTGGACTCTGTGGTCTCACAGACTCTGCATTCCTGTCTGGGACAGGGCAAGCAGGAGGGATGGTGTGACTAAGGGGCAGGACTTGGACCCTGGTAGGAGGGTCTTCATGGGCAGCAGAGCATGCTCAGTGGGAGGCTAGCCTTTTCTCCCCAGCTCACCCCTGCTGAGATGGGGCTCAGGAGAAAGGGAAAGTTACCTGTCTCAGAGCGTATACAACTAGCAGCTGGCTCCACAGAGGGGCTTCCTGCACCCAGTGGGTGGGGCTGCAGCTGAGATCCTTCTCTGTCTCCCAGCAGAGCCCCAAACCTGTCTAAAGCAGCAGGAAGGATTTTCCGCACCGCCGGAGGGAAAGACATCCATCTCTTTCTGACAAGTCCTCCAGGAAGTGCCAACAATGTACCAGGTGCTGCCCAGAGCCCAGAACTCCTCAGGGTGGGGTGCTCAGGTTTGGGAAGGCCTGGGGAGAAATTTGGCTCCAGAAAATTCCCTGACTCATACAAAAAGCCAAGTAGATACTATCAGAGTCTGCCTGCTGGGCCTGCCCCAGCCTCTCACAGTGGCGGCGGCGGTGACACGGAGGACCCGGAGGACAGGATGGGTCTTGAGAGGAAAGAGATTGGCCATGATCTCCGGATCCCACTCAGTCCATGCCGTAGGGCACCCGTTACCAAAGTGTGGGTCACGCTCCACAGCATCCAGGGGTCATCTCATTCTACATGTTGTTTCCCTATGTTGAACATCACTGTTTCTGTCCATGACCCCCAGTCAGGAGCCACACTGAAGCTATCCGAGCTTCTCAACAGGATCGGGACTTCCTGCTTGTTGGGCTGGATCACCTCTGCCGAGCCCTCCTCAGGAATGTGCCTCTGTCTAGGAATGCACCACCCTCCAGGATCTTGGGTCTATTCATCTGCACAGGTCTGGCCTACCTCAGCAGGACATTCTTTTTTGGTTCTTTGTTTTCTAGCAAGGCTGACATGGCTAACTCTGGCTCCTCAGTGAGGTTTTCCCTGACCACCAAAATGGAAGTCGCCCACTGGTCACTGTTTCTAGCTGCCAGCAGCCCCCTCTCCAGTTCCCACCAGATATCTCCCCAGTTCCTATCAGGCAACTGCTCCAGTTCCTATCAATCCACGCTCCCCAGTTCCTACAAGTCACCCCCACACACACAGTCAACCCCCCCAAGTTCCTATGAGTCAACCCCCCAGTTCCCATCAGTCAACCCCCAGTTCCTATCACTCAACCCCCTAGTTCCCATCGGTCCCTGCTTAGTTCCCACAGCCACTCCCACCAGTCAGTACTCCCAGTTCCCACCAGCTACTTCTCCTAGTTCCCACTAGTCACTCCTCCCAGTTCACACCAACCATTGGTAAGGATCAGCTGGTGACTTGATCCAGTCGCAACCAATCAGAGTAAGTCTTGGGAATTGGGTGTGAACTGAAAATATGTTGGTTGTTTCTCACTAGAGATGAACAAAAGGGAAAGTGAAGCCCACAGCTGTGGACAGACATCTGGCCAGCTCGGGAAGCTGAATCTGGTACCAACTAAGAGAGCAAGATGGGAAGTAGGGATGCATGTAGCTGGGAATAGTGTTTGTGCCCAGGATCAAGCTGGACCTGGATTCACTGTCAGAGGACCCTTCAGTCCCAGGAATCAGCAAGTTCTCTGTCCTTGAGCCAGCTGGAGGTGTGTTAATACAGTGTGTGTGTGTGTGTGTGTGATAGTCTCTAGTTGATAGATTTGGGGCCACAAACAACATGGTGTGGGTTGCTAAGGACTGATTTGAATATTAAAGAGGACTTGGAGGCAGGTCCGGAGGTGCCAGTGGGTAAAGCCTTGCTGTGGGAGTGGAGGACAAGCTTGGATTCCCAGAACTCACACAGAACTGGTCATAGTCACATGTACATCTGAATCTGAGTGCTCCTTTAGCAAGACAGGCTGTGGAGACAGGAGACTACCCAGGAGCTAGCAGGCCAGCTAGCCTAGTGTCTGTCACAATGAAGAGCAAAGAGACCCTGTCTCAAAGAAGGAGGGAAGTGAGGAATGACACCTGAGGTTGGCCTCTGACCTCCATACACACACATGTCCTACAGCACATGTGTACCTTCACACACACACACAACACACACACACACACAACACACACACAATACCACCCCTAAACAATTCAGAGGGTATGGGGAGGTCAGGGCCTTGGGGTCTGAGAATCTGAGTTAGCTGACCTTGCCTCTTCTTTCCCTGGTCCCCTCTGAGTCATCAACTCTGAGTCATTTGTGCCTCAGGTGGTGAGCAGGGATCCAGGTGATCAGACTCTCTGTGGTAGCATGCTGTAGCAAAACATCCTGAGGCAGGGAACACTTGCTCTTCCCCACTGCTCCTCCTCCTTCCTGCTCCTCCCCCACTGCTCCTCCTCCCACTGCTCCTCCCCCACTGCTCCTCCTCTCACTCCTCCTCTTCTCACTGCTCCTCCTCCCCATTGCTCCTCCTCCCACTGCTCCTCCCCCACTGCTCCTCCCCCAC